TTCGCCCCCGGTGCCCCTTTCGCCCCCGTTCCCGGCCTCGACCACCACTTCAAGCACTCCCGTATTAAGAGCTAAAAGCCTGAGGAGCCGCCAGGTCTCCTAACGAGGCTACGTCTTTGGCAACCTATGCCTGTTGTCAAATTGGAACCCACTGAAAATTGGACTACATTTTTCAATTAGGAACTACTATTTCAGAGGCACCCATAAAAACTGCCGACTGTGTGAGCAAGCTAATACGTTACTACAACATTATATACATGTTCATTATTAATAATGAAAAAGATCCAACATTTATACCTAAGTTCGGAACAAATAATTACACGAAAAGAAGTTCCGATCAATCCTCTCCAAACACCAAAGATAAAATATAAAACACCAATATCTTTATGATTAGTTGAAAAAGCTCAGACTTTCGTTTTTTATTAATAATTAAATAATAACACTAAAATTCGTTGTTTTTAAAATAATTTAGAAATAGCAGCAAACAGCAATAATCGCATAAGGCGTCTAGAACTAAAATCGGCAATTTTCATTGCCCTGTCTAAAAATTGTGTGATCATTTTAATTTTAATATTGAAAAAACAAGAAAGCCTCCCTTTTCATGTTTCCTGGTAAATTTCCTGTTATTACGCGAGTTTCAAGAATTTTCTAAAAGAATGCTCACGAAAATTTCGAAGAAACTCGGTTTCAGGGTGTATTTTTTCAAGGACCGTCCTTGTTTAAAATCAAGTTGAGTACTTATTTTTCAACCCGAAATGTCATTTTAGGCTCTCCGTAATTCTAATATCTGTATGAAAATTATTCATCATTTTGCATTCGACGTACACAGCGCAAACAGCACTCTAAGTCAATGCATCAAGACTGTACTCTCCTTAGGTCGCGGTCAGGCCATTATTAAACGCCTTCAATTGCGTGTGATACTGTGCAACACACCAAAGTTGATATAGTTGTATTCTTAGGTCGGAACCTAACTCAAGGAAAATTGCTCTGCCAAAGAAGGCATGTCAACCCGTTAACCGCTGTGTTTCAAGTTACTTCGCATATTCCATGCCTATTATCGCCCCTGACAAACAATTTTATAGACTCAATTGATTTTAAAAGGAGGAATTATCATGATTAACTATTGATTGACTCTTTTAATTTCGTATTACTTAAAAAAATACTCTCTTGACGATTACCTAAATATGTCGATTTTATTAAAGTAGATGCCTTAAAATTTTATTCGATACAATAATATTTGAAACTTGCACTGGTTCCATGGTGTATTCTGTGCCTTAAATTTGGCATTGGTGTCGCATTAATCATTAAACTCAGTGTGTCAGTGTGGTGAAAACTCTTCCCTTCTAAGGACACTCTCAAGAGTCGGTGAAGAAAGGAAAAGAGTGTCCTGTTTAGAAATGAGGCGCTCGTGGGAATTTGAACGTATTTATGCTAAAAGGGAATATGTGCATATGGTTTATGTGAGACATAGTTCGCTTTGGTATAAACACGTTCATTTCTACTTTCTTGAGAGCACACTTCTCCGAAAAAGGGCGAATATTTTCGTTCTGCCCTCCCGGGCCGGACGATTGGGAGTAAATCAGGAGTTTCAAGGGGGAAACGAAACAGATTTTAGATGCTCGATCAAATTCTCCAGAGCCTAATTTATATAAATTTAGCAGACATTTTGAAAAGAGCGCTGCATTTGAAAAGAAAGGGGAAAAACAGAAAATAAAACAACAACAACAAAAAGCACTTCGATCCAAGAGTAAGCAAAGTAGGGCACAGTCACTGTGACGCACTGAATAATTTTTCGTGGCCAAGTGAAATTTTTCGTTCAACCATGCCTTGCTGAGGAAAGATGCAGTCAGTGGCGCGGCGTGCTTCGATATATATCGATATATCCCCATTTGAAGCCGTGGTAAAGAATCGGTTATTAAGGTGTTCGTTGCGAACACCCTGATTTAACGCCTTTGAAGAACGTTACTATCTAGTGCAAGCCGGAACGAATCTAAATATCAAATGTGTCTACACATACTAAGTCCAATTGTTACCTCTTTGTTTCAGGTTGTGCTTTCGTCAAGTTTAGCTCACATTTAGAAGCACAAGCAGCTATCAACTCTCTTCACGGCAGTCAGACTATGCCTGTAAGTTCTTTACAATACCCTTTTCATGTTGTTTTTCGTTTGTTTTGTTTTGTTGGTCGCCGAGTTTTAGGCTTACATGATAGCCCCTCCGCTCCTACTTTTGGACCTCAGTAGACAAACATGATAGTAACAGAGTTGTAGACATGATGGGGATTCACTTGTTTCCAAACTCTAAAATGCGTTTTGAACAATCTAGAGTGGATATTTTTGCCGAAAATTACACTTTCAGCGTTATCATCTTTAATTTTTCACGTGATTCTTTAAATTCCTCCTGATAAGGGTTGATTGTATGGCTACCTAAGAGCTCCATGGGAAACCTAAAACTGATGAACCAACCGGAGAGCGGCACAGATATAGCAAAACTCTCCGTATAGAGGCACTTCAACTTTCACCATGGATACACAGAAAACGCCACACATAGTGGATCGAGGCAATAGGAGAAGTCAGACGAGTTTTTTAAACGTCAAAAGCTTATAACTCCGTTGAATCAAAGCTTTAAGATTTTAAAAGTGTCTCATCGGTTTCCTCGTGAAATTTTCTTCCACAATCACCCCTTAAAATTTAAAGTGCGACGAATTAAACATCAAAATTTGCAGTTTCAGTCAATTTGTCGTGGCCGATCTCTCCGATTGACTCGATCCACTGTGCGGCAGGGAGCGACGAGTGCAAATTGGCGAAAGTAAAGATGCGCAAAGCGACCGAGGGTGAATAAAAAGGAGAAGACACCGACAACAATTAAAAGATTTTCTCGTTATCGCTCGCAAAAAGGACCACACCGCACCCCGCGGAGAAGGGGCGGGGGGAGACAACAGGTCGGGCTGAATCGATAAATGATTGCATTTATGGGGTATAAGCGGGGGCGATAATGCGTTTAGCACGTGGCTCCCATCGGGCTCCGACACTCAATTTATCCGAGCGATCCGCACGACTCCGAAACGGCTAAACGGCTGCACCGGTGTGCGAAACGCCGCTTAAACCCTCCTCCGACTATATTGTCGCTATTTTTCACTCGAGGACTCCCGAAAAATCTGAAGTTCCTCGGCGCTATCCTGCCGTGCTAAGGGAAAACGCCGTATGAGACATCATGCCTTGCCAAATTTCCTTCGACAAATCACAAAGTTTCAGGAAAATCTGTGAATATTTTTCTTCCGATTTTTCAGATGTTTTCGTTCGTAACTTTATCTGAAATATCTGAAAATCTCAAGGGACAATATTCATAACTTGTTCAAGAAATAAATATTTTATAAGGGGAAAGAGCCATGCACAAAGTGGCCCATTTTTGGGCCCTCGAAATTGGGGTCGAAGTGAGGTTTTTTTTCATCCTTAGGGTGACCCTTTACACATACTAAAATTTCAGATTGAGTATACGCACCGTTTTCGAGTTATGGGGGGGCAAAGTCCCCGATTTTCACCCATTTTTGCAGGTGTTTTAATGTCGAACTCCGGCTGTTACGAGGTACCAGATTTAGATATTGAAGCGCGGTTTGCGGTGATTTGTTCACCTATTCCTGTAGTATTTTTCCACATCTTTCACAAAGCCCCAAATGGTTTTTCGGGGGGGCGGGGAGGGGGGCTTTATTCATACTATCATGACCGTTAGCGCATCTTACTGACTTTACTTTGTTCTCTTCTCTCCACGCCGCAGTCACGATGGTATTTTCTGTTGGGGATTTTCCTTCTTCTTCACATTTTACCAATTTTCATGTCTTCCCCCTCTTTTCCCTTTTTACCCCCTCCCCCTCAATCCAAACACTTCCTCTCAAGCGCTTCTTCCTGTAAGGCAGATATGACGGGGTCATATGTGGGGGATTATTTTTCTTTCTTTACGATTGATAAACTTTGACCCAACTTACTTCTCCCTTACATACAGGGCCCTCCTTACCCCTGTATTATCCCTGCCCCCTGCCCGCTCCACTTTACTTGAAGTATTTTGCTCCCTCCGCAGCAGAAATGACGATGTTTCCTGTGAAGAATTGTTTCTTATTCATATTTTTCTCGTTTCTCTTTCCACTTCTATGTTTGATTTATTCTTTCCTAGGTACATTCTCTTCCACTTTCTCGTCGCGTGACCATATTACTCCCACAAAAAAGTAGTAAAAAAAAAAGAAAAGTGAAAAGTAAAGAGAACGAGGCAAAAGAGGGACAAACAAGAGGGTAAGGGGAAGAGGAAGAAGAGGGGGAATAATTAATACAGAAGAGGAGGAGGGTGGCTCCCATGTATTCAGAATTTCAGTACCTAAACATAAGTAAAACATTCTTTGCCAGAAACATCGTCATTTCTGCTGCGGAGGGAGCAAAATACTTCAAGTAAAGTGGAGCGGGTAGGGGGCAGGGATAATACAGGGGTAAGGAGGGCCCTGTATGTAAGGGAGAAGTAAGTTGGGTCAAAGTTTATCAATCGTAAAGAAAGAAAAATAATCCCCCACATATGACCCCGTCATATCTGCCTTACAGGAAGAAGCGCTTGAGAGGAAGTGTTTGGATTGAGGGGGAGGGGGTAAGAAGGGAAAAGAGGGGGAGGACATGAAAATTGGTAAAATGTGAAGAAGAAGGAAAATCCCCAACAGAAAATACCATCGTGACTGCGGCGTTGAGAGAAGAGAACAAAGTAAAGTCAGTAAGATGCGCTAACGGTCATGATAGTATGAATAAAGCCCCCCTCCCCGCCCCCCCGAAAAACCATTTGGGGCTTTTTGAAAGATGTGGAAAAATACTACAGAAATAGGTGAACAAATCACCGCAAACCGCGCTTCAATATCTAAATCTGGTACCTCGTAACAGCCGGAGTTCGACATTAAAACACCTGCAAAAATGGGTGAAAATCGGGGACTTTGCCCCCCCATAACTCGAAAACGGTGCGTATACTCAATCTGAAATTTTAGTATGTGTAAAGGGTCACCCTAAGGATGAATAAAAACCTCACTTCGACCCCAATTTCGAGGGCCCAAAAATGGGCCGTTTTTGGCCCTTTTTGTGCATGGCTCTTTGGGGACACTCGAATGTTCATACGGCGTTTATCCTTAGCACGGTAGTATGGGTCATAAGTTCAACGCTCCTGCGCTCAGGATAAACGGCGTATGAGCACACCAAGTTTAGCGAATGGGCCTCTTGCAAACTTCAGCTAGAATGAAAAGAAGTGTTGGATCTTACAGAAAATGGCTAAAAACCCGCGATAAGAGAGTTATTCATAACTGTTCTTAAAAAAAATATTCTATATCTGAAAATGAGCCCGTTGCAAACTTCAACTAGAGCAAAGAGAAGAGTTTTTGCTTCTATGGCTCAGGAATCACGATGAGTGCATCGGAAAGTCTGCATGATACACAATCCTATATGGAACTTCACAATATGCGTGAGAAATATGCGTTTCTTAAGCTTTTCGCTTCCTTAACGATGCAACGACACAGGTGAGCATTTCGTAAGAGGAGTCGTTCCATCCAACACTTGCACACTAGAATGCTATACAATATTTATAACATGATGACTGACGCTTTCGCGCGCAAATTGTGAAATCGCGCTCAAGTAAAAAAACATAAACACACCAGCTGATAAAATCCTGTCTCGTCATGTGTTTTGGCGGGTCGGCGTCGGCCATGTTGAATATTGCGTAGCATTCTAGTGGCAAGGGTTGGATGGAACGATTCCTCTTACGGAATGTTCACCTATGCCGAAGTATCGTTTTCGAAGCAGGAAGCTAAAAAACGCTAATTTCTTAAGCAGATTGCTCGAGCAGTCCATATGATATGGAGTGTAATCACTATGTCCTATATTGACTGATCAATTCTGTCGGCCCAATCCAACTATACCCGAAAGGTAGCCGAATTCCTGAAATTCAGTTCAGCGAATCGAATAGTTTATTGACCAAATATAATTTGGATAATACTTTTGAAGAATTCTGCTGTGTTAACTAAACGAAACTGAGTCTCGTATTCTCCGGTTTTTCCACAAAAAAAAATTCTTCAAGCGAACGTACTCAACTTATGAGCCGAGACCGGCATACGCTTGACCGAGTCAGTAGGAGAATTCGGACAAAATCCGAAAATTTTGAAAGCGTACATTTTCGAAAATCTTCAAGACAAACGTTCAAATGGGGTTTCATTGGTTTTTTGGTGAAATTTCCTGTCAAAAACACCTCTTGGAATTGAATTTGTGACAGAATAAACAGAAAATTTTGAAATTTTAGCCAAATATTTCATGTCGAGCTCCTCTATTCCACTGTGCGGGAGTATCGGAGTCGAAACGTCGAAGAGAACGAATGGTGGACTTCATTCGAATTTTCCGCGCGTTGACCAACACACATCACTCGGATCGACTTCGGCGTGATCGTGCATGCAAATATTAGCCCCCAGTGTCGCCATATCGCGCCCACTAATCAACATTTACACGACCAGAATCGCTGATTTTCGGGAGTAGTCTTGCAACCGTGTGGGTTTCCTCGCTGACGCTTTTACGCCGAGGCTGGAAAATATTCCCGGCCGGGGCGAATTAAGTGTATATTACGACATTCCAAGGATTCTGGGACAAACTACCTGTCCCGCATATATTTTACATGTTTACCGGGTCCTCCGGGTCTCCCCGCGAATTTACATCTGACCTCGTCGAGTGCGGTTCTAAGTGCCGCAGTCGGGCCTCGCGGGAAGTTTCTCGTGTCTTGTAGGAACAGGGTCTCGGTTTTGTAGTCAGAGTAATTTGAAGTTCAAATTTTGAACCTCGTCTGTTGACGATAGCTCCAAGTTTCAGCTCACGAAACCTAAGATTATCAAGATCAATGGCTCAGCAGGCTGATTATTGAAAGTGATAGACAAAGCAATAGACATTGAAGGCATAGGGAGTGTGGGGCTACCCTATTGGTTGAAGTGAGTGGTTTTTATAGACAAATAAAAACACATTAAAATACAAAAAAAAAATTGGTCTACAAGGCTAAGGAAACATACAACAAACCAGAACGTCTCTAACATTGTAGACCCATTTTTTTAGTTTTTTAATGCGTTTTTACATTGTTG